GTGGAGGATATCCTCCGAAGCGTATGCGCTGAGGCGCCAAAACGCTGGAGCCAGATGCTCCCACTCGTTGAGTTCGCATTAAATAATGCAGTGCACGCCTCGACAGGCTACACTCCGTTCTATGTGAACGGCTTGGTTAACCCTCGCGTCCCACTGACGCCGCCACGCAGTGGCTCAGGGCTTGGTGGGGGAGGGATAGCCGAGCGGCTAGCTGATGTCAGCCCTGTTGCGGTTCGCAAGCAAGTCGATGACTTTGTCTCTTTGAGACTAAGCGTAATGCGTCAAGTACGCGACGCTATGGCTGAAAGCCAAGACATGCAAAAAGAACATGCAGATGCCAAAGGCAGACGCAATGAAGAAAGGTTTGAGGTCGGAGACCTAGTTTTATTAAATGCCAAAAACCTACCTACTCATGCAGTGTCTGCAGTCTTTAAGACAAAATTGAGACCACGGTTCATAGGGCCGTTCAAGGTCGTGGCCAAGAAGGGCCTAGCGTATACGCTTAACCTTCCGAAGAAGATGCGCACGCATCCAGTTTTCTACGTTGGCTTACTCAAGCCGTATTAGGACCCTGCTCAGGTGAGCGCGGAGGCGTTGGCGCCAACGGTGGCTGGGCCACGACAGGCTGCGCAGCAGCGGGAGGCCGAACCACGGCAGGCTGAGCGACAGCAGGTGGCGGGGCCACAAGACGCAACAGCAAGTCGATCTGACCTTGCAGCTGAGCGACTTGACGCTCAAGGTCCGCGACTCGGTTCTGAACCGACTGTGGTTGTTCAAACCAGTCCACGCGGTGGTTCGTCTCATCGAGACCATCTGCAAGGCGACTCAGAGAGTCAGTCGTATCATGGAGATACTGGTTCAGAGAACCCACACGCTGCTCCAGCGCGAACACGTCGCTGCGACTCGCGACGCGAGAGTCCAGCTGAGGCTCGGCCTCCTCCTGCTCTGCTCGACGAGCACGGCGAGCTTCACTCCCATGTGGAACGCCTGGTGGCGAGGCGCAGGCGCCAGGGTCGTACTCAGTACCTTGTGAAATGGAGGGGTTATCCTCACTCACAAAACTCTTGGGAGTTTGAGGTTGTCCTCCGGCAGGACTGCCCTGACGTCGTCGACGCTTTTGATCGGGCACACTCACTGCCCCGCCGCTACGGCGTACGACCGCGTCGTCAGGCGCCGAGCGCTTCCCGCCGCTAGAACGCGGGGATGACAGGTCGGTGGCTGAGCTCAAGCTCCGACCAGTGGCTGGAGCAGCCGGCTCATAGGAATGAGCGGTGCTCGCAGCATGAACAAGAGGTGGTGACGCCTCGAGGTGATGGGGACGGGGTCCCAGTGTCCGTCGACGTGCCTTCGACTTAGCGAAGTCTAAGCGCAAACGTCTCTCAAGACGAATATCAGTTTCAGAGAAACTTGCTCGAAGAGCATTGTAGGAGGGGAGCCGTCGAGCTCCCTCCACCCAGCTTCGGAATTGTGCTTCATAAGCACGCTGGGATTCCCCAGGGTTGAGACAACCGGAATGGTTCGCATGGAGGGAATCCGGTTGGCGGCTGAGCTGCATATGCAGGCGCGCCTGATACTCCTGAGGAGTTGTGACTTGTGGAGTCAGATATCGCTCTCGGAGCCGGTGCCGTTGCACTTGCTCATCAGCAGTCGAGGCCGCAGGCCCACACGTGTACGTGTTCAGCGGCTGCTGCGCCGCGAGGCGGGCCGCTTCGGCAGGGTTCCGCGGCTGGAAGCCGTAGTCACGGCGTGACGTTAGAACAAGTGGTCGGACCACAGGTCGGAACGACTGCGAGCGCTGCTCATTGGACAACTGACGGCCTTGGGCCTCGTCCAGGTCATTCGTAATGACGTTGTGATCGTATCGATCTTCCTCGTCATACCGCGACGATAGCGGTGGCGCATCGCGTAGCGAGCGAATCGGATTCGAACGCTCAGAGAACGGATGCGGTGTCCGCAGGTCTCTTCTTGTTTGAGATTGCGCCGTTGAGCGGCTAGACCTCACAGAGGAAGCTGGGGAAGACGCGGCACCAGTGTGCGACCTCGGAGAGGTTGGGTTGGAGCGATCCTCACTACCCATGGGCTCGTCGTAATCGACTTCGCCCTCTTCGAGTTCCGAGAACAGAACATCGTTCCCTCTGGGCGGCGCCCGCGGTTCTGACGAGTTTTGAGCTTTGCTCTCTTCTTGTTGACGGCTCATGGAGCGTTGACCGTGGCGACGGCGATACTCTTGGTGGTACTGTGCCACCGAAAGAGACGAAGATGCTCTTGGAGCAGTTGCGGAGCGCAGTTGGGGGTCTGGGACCGACGAGGCAGGGGTGGCGCGACGCGCTGGAGACGTTGGGCCGTGGGCCGGAGTAAAAGTGCCAGGCATCAAGGATGCGAACGCGTTTGTGAGCTCGTGGAGCTGCAGAACGCAGAGGTGAGGTCTAGTGACCTCCGTCGTCTTGACAAGACGTGACCTCGCTGAGGAAAGTTCGAGAGCGGTATGTTCTCATCTTAGTGAGGGAGAGTGTAACGGGGTTACATGGTGTGGAGCACACAGGGGTACGAAGTACCCGGAGAGTTAACAAACTCTCAGTACATAAGTTGGAGAGTTAACAAGGTCTCTCAGTACGTTGGCTGAAAGCCACACGTTATGCATTTGATTAGGTTTAACTATGCTAGATAGTTAAAGAAATACATTTACCCCTAGGCGGCTTGGCCGCAATAATAGTAAATAAAACACTTCTGGTTTTGAAGCATAAAAGTTAAGGTGTTAACTTTGAGCCCTGGTCTTGGGCTGTAAGTGTCCTTTGGATAAGGAACTTAGTATTAGTGACTCTTTGAGTCGAACGTCTTCCTCTGACGCTAAAGCTACGGCAGCCCCGCTGCAATCCACCTCCCCTAATCGAAACTGTGCGAGCATTCTTTTCGTCGATGATGCCGTCAATTAAAAAAGTGCAGTGCTCTCATCCAGATTAACCCGAAGTGACGGAGATTTCCTCTGCAAAGTTCCCCCAGGCTCAATTCTCTCGTTCGCTCCTTCTACAAACTCTCGCCTTGTTTTTTTGCAAGTGGCCACTCAAGTTTTGGCCAACGTGCGTCCTACGTCGAATACTTCATCATTGCAGGCGAAAAACGCATATATTCAACTCCACATAGCCGATCGCTTTCCTTTACGAAAGTTGCGATCCATTGAAAGGGCTTTAGCCATCACTTGGTTTGAGAAGACTACAATTTCCGCGCTTCGGCGCTCTAGAATCTGGCGATCAAGGTTTTCTTCCAACTGAGGTGCTGCGCAGGGTCTGCCCCGGCTTAGAGATCTTGCACGCGGATTTCTTTTCACAGCAGCCTCTAACCCAGTCTTCTTCCTTTTCCATATCCGAGCTTGGTACAGTGCCACTTGGTTTTGCCGCGCTGTGCCCTTGATAGTGTCTCGTTCAGCTTCGAAAACGATCAACAGCCTATCCTACACGGTGAGTCTGGTGTCTTTCATCGGCATAATTGTCGTCCTGCAATACTTCAAGCCATTTCAGAAGTGCTTGCAAGATCCTCTCGATGATATCAGCCAATCGCTGAGTAGCCAGTCAACTTTGGCTTCATCGGTAAGCATCTACGAACTCGGTAGATCGATTTGTACCTTTTCAGACCTCGATTTAATAAAACGACCTCTATTTATAATAAATTGTGAGCAAAAGCCTTGAAATGCACAATAAATGAGAAATTATAAGTAGAAGTACATGTATAATTAGCGAAGAGGTTCCGCAGCAGCTCACGCACCGCGACGGTGACGAAGTATAGTGCCCTAAGTCGGGCTGTGGTCGTCGCAGCAGGTGAGCTCGCTGATAAATTACCGTTGTGAGCTTCTAAGAAAAACATTCTTTTCGATGATAGATAATGGCAGCCTCGCTCAAATCATATACATAAATCTGCCTGAATAAGGAGCGCCTGGTATAAATTAAGAAAGAGCTCGCTAAAAACAGACTATGATATCGGATCATGTGCATGTATTGAATTAAGTTAGGATAAATTGAAGATTTAACTTTTGAGTGAGACCAGAGTGATTCCAGCAGTGTTAAATCGTGGAAGCGCTAGCTTTAGACCATGCAGCCTCGCATCAGAGCAGTGCAGTTAGCTGGTCGACGTTGTACGGCTTGTCGAGGCCTTCGCCTAGGCGATCCAATGCGAACATCATTTTTTGCGATAAGATGTCCTGCATATCAAATATTGATTCACGTCAATTTCTCTTAGCGGTTAATGCTAATGATTCCCTCAACACGGACGTTGCTTAGAGAGAGACCAACCTCTGCGCCTTCTTGCGTACAGCTTTTTTCCACAGGCCATCCGCGCAGCACAGCACTTAATTTGAGTAAACGGTATATTGTCCTTTTGCCAGGGGCCGTTGGAAGCCCAAACTCTTCAACCGCCCACTCAGCTAGCTCATTTAAGGTGAGCGAGCAGCCTTCTCGAGGATGGCTACCTTTTCGGACTAGGTGAGGCGGAGACGATTGGCGGACATGGGGGTACTGAGGACGCAGTCGCATAGTGAGCATGTAGGAAAGAAGTTCGGCTCGTAGGGCTTGAAGCGAAGGAGGTTTACCTACTGCGCGCCATTTTTTTAAATTGAAAACAAAGTCAGTGCCTGGATTGTTTTGTCAGTACCTTGCCCATCACTATCCCATCTCCCTAAAATCTTTCCCAACTATAAAATTTGCGAGGTTATTAGTTGAAACCCCGTTCCTTATTCAGGCAGATTTCTGTATCGTTCTTAACAAATTTAAGAGGTGTAGGAGCTTAACTATGATAACGTATTTACTACAGTTTATTATTTTTTAAACAGATTTATAGATACCGGTATCGCTAAATCCAAAAGGTGCACCAGCACAAATTTCAACTTCGGTACATGCAGTGCATGATGCACCCCCATAAAATAAACCTTTAAGATTTCGCTGTAAGTTATCGATCGAACATCTTTTGGAGAAGATGCAACTGGTCGCTTGATTTTAATTTGGCACTGCTCGCTATCTGTTGTCTTTTGTGTGTTGCAGCAACGCATCCAGTACTGACGCCTGAGCATTCAGCTCAGTGACGTGAAGTGATCTCAAGCGACGAAGTTCTTGTTTCAATTGTTGTAGCTCGTCTTCAAGCAGAGGACATTCACTACAGGGTGAGGGTGGGGGGTCTTTAATGGAAGCGTGAACATGGTCACAACTCTCATTCACCTGGTTCTCTTGTTCTTCTTCGTCGCTACTGTAAGTTACTTGTAGCAGCATCTCAACAGGAATCTGATTTCTAAGTCGATGACGACGAGTTTCCCCAATAGCAGAACGTGCCATGCTACGCTTCTTCACATCCTGAAGAGAGCGTAGTCTAGTCTTACAGACGGCTAAATCGTTGCGAAGCGTGGCTTCAGTACGGTGTGCCTTGCGCAGTAGAGCCTCGAGAGTTCGTACTTCGTTTGTTCGACGTTGAGCCGTGTCATTAGCAGATGAGAGTTCGTGCTTGCATTGCTTCAACCTTGCTTCCAACTTAGCTGTCGTGGCTTCTGCCATTCGTCGCTTCTTACCAGCTTTCTCCGCTCTGTCCTTCGCCTCACGGAACTCTTTTCTCTCTGCAGTTTCGAACTGAGTTTCTAACTTGTTTTTATCGTGTTCAAAACGCTGTAAAGCAGCTGTCAACCGGTTCTTCCAAGCAAGTTTTTCGTGGGCGTACGTGGTCTTGAGTTCGTTCATGTCGGTCTCAATTCGAATCGCCTTCTCGGTCTGTTGCTGCAATGCTGCAGTCTTCCGCTTCAAGTGTTGCTGACACTCTCGTAGCTGTTGTGTCAGCTTGTTGTTCTGCGTCTCGAGAGAATGAGTTCGAGTCTGGAGGACATGAGACCGTGCCTTCAGCTGTGATAATACCAACTGGGTCTGTACAGAGTGTGCCTGTGTTTCATCTACTTGCGATGTCTCTAGTAAAAGTTCAGCTTGTAATTTCGGTAGCTTCGTAGCATAAATTTCGTTCTCAGTCTTTAGTTTCATCATTTCAGCATTTGATCGCTGCAGATTTGCAGTCGCTAACGAGAGTTGAGTCTTTAAACGAGTATTCCGTTCCGATAGTTTCTTGTTGTCGCTCTCAACCAGCGACAATTTAAGTTTGAACGTGCGTGTTGCGTTTACTAATTCGCTCTTAGCTGCTTCGAGTCGTGCTTGGAGAGAGGCAATACGCGAAGCAATAGTCTTATCCCGGTTACTATCGGTTCTTCGTCTCCGAATTGTATCGTTTGATATTGGCTCTACTTGACCTATTTCATTGGGTGTTGAGGGTGTGTTGCTTTCGTATACCACAGGAAATAAGGTTTCAACGGTATACACTGATTGCTTTGGAGCGTTCGTGATAGGAGTAGAGTATGTCGGGTTGGTGTCAGCTTGTTGCAGACTTCTACGCTCATTTGCATCTTCATCCAGTAAGGTTTTTGTGTGGTTTAGTTCTTCAATTATTTCTTCAGAGACAGCAATTAAGGGCACCGAGTCGTCATGTTTAAAATGCACTGCTTTGTGCTCACTTGCGTCTTGTGTCGTGTTCGTAATTTCCAATGAAGTGGCCATTTTTGTGTTGTCGGAAGGAGTAAAATCATCATCCAGACGGTCGATTTGAGCAGTATCGTGCTCGTTGTCGAGCTTTTCATGCCCAAACGTCTTGTAATCTGCATCGACCTGTTGATGATCGTTTATCTTTGGACTTTCACAGTGCGTTACTGTGGCCGGAAGCTGATCATCTCCGCTTCTACCAGCATCCTTTTCGGTTGATAGCTCATCGCTCAATCGGTTTGTTTGACAAGGTTCCAATTCCGCTTGGCCTATATCACCATAGTCATCTCTTGCTGAATTATCTTCGTGGTCGAGCTCGTGCCCTTCTTCACGTTTTGCTGGACTTAATGCGTCACGAACGTTAAACTCACCAACACTTCGATCTCCAGCGCAGTCAGTATTTTTGGGTAGTTCTCCGTCGTCAAGAGGTAGCGAAGGTAAGGCGAGTGAGGTGTCAACTTTACTGACTTGATCATCCGAGTCACTTTCGAACAGGTCGGCACCGTCATCGTCGCTCAACTCGCTCATCTCACCGAATGCACTATGGCTACCTGGGTGTGTGTGATGTGCATATCAATAGACAAGCATCGACCGTAACGACAACGACACATCGTCTCATACGTATTTCAACACTGCACGGGTTCAAACTTAACAACTTAACTGCAGCTCAATTATAGCGTCAAACCTTGATTCCAAGTCGTAATTACTACGTTACAGACCCAGTACAGCCCGTATTGACTCCAGTGCTTCCACTGGATCGCACACCTTCGTTGCGTTTAAGTCGCTAGAAGCCACAGCCACGATAGCTCGGTCTTCTAAATTGCCGAGAAAACACAAAGCCTGTCCAAAAACAACAGAATTCAGAAAACATACACGTGATAGCACTTGAGAAGGGGATACGTTACCTGAGCATATTGCTTCCACCCCGGCAGTTTGATGAATTCCCACAACTTTGGGTCCATCTCACCATAGTCATCTACACCAGTAGATTTACGCTCAGCAACCCACGGACAGAAGTGTCGGTGCTGGGACAGTAGATCAACTGACTGCACTGCGTCAGTCTTCATACGCTTTGCAGGGGGTTCACTCTCTTCACCATCATTCTTCTTGGTCGGGATAGCTTGCCACCTTCGATTGCAGGATCCGCACCACAGCATTTCCTCGTCTTTATCATCAAATTGCCATCCACACACGACCAGGAATGCAGCGTTAACAAGCACTTCAGAGCTCACGGAGGCGTCTCTGAGCAGTGGACTCTTCGCTAATAGCTTCGATGCAAACGTCGTAGTATTCTGAAAATCTGCAGCATCCTCAGAGTCATCTGCTTCTTTTAATATCTTGGCTGCGACTGCATCCATGACTTTAATACTTTTCATTCGCTCATCTTTCTTGTGCATTTGCGTCACCAATTCCTCTAGTCGAACCATAAACGTCTCGTATACTTGGCGTTTACTCGCGATAGGAAGCTGTACGAACCTCGGTTAGTAAACAAAAAAACTTGCATGCTTAATTGTAACTTCCTCACCGTCGTGAATGCTTCTGGGGATGGATTTCCACGCCATGGACACAGCTCAGTGTGCCCAGTTATCAACTGTTCAGCAAATATATGAGCCACTTTAAGTGCACCTGCCGTACTCAGCTTATCGTTGATCTTGAAGCACAAAAACTGCTTGCAACTGCACCAAACAGCGTCAGTATCAACAGTTCGTCATCGTATCGTTTTTATTCTCTCGTACCAGTTGCAATGCAGTTGATCTGGAGCTGAGTTCATCCATCCATGACGAGCACACTCGAATGCACTGATAACGTCTGGTTTGGCGAACCAGGAGGCGATGGAGAAGCTGCTGACTCGTGCTAGGAAGTCCTCGTGCTCCCAGGGACGACATTGGACATTACAGGCAGGTTTCTTGGGGTGTTTAGCAAGAATTTCTGACACAGATGCAAATAGCAGAGGGTCCTCTCTCACACGCGAATCTATCGGCGCCGTGGCGTCGTCCCAGGACGCCAGCAGCGTCTCCATCTGCGTCCCCAGCGTCGCCATTGTGCGAAGATAAACTGACGACTACATAATCTACACATCGGTAACCTATTATAAGGACTATAAAATCATTATTAGAGGGTTTTAAGTGGAGTCCCTTGCCACTTACAAAAAGCAAGACAAGTAGAGATGGCGGACGAAGCGGTGGACGTGAACAAGCTGGAGGCTGAGGCGGCGAGTCTTGTGGGCGAATCGGAGGCTTCCAAGACGGATGGAGAGACCGCTGCTGCTCCCGAGGAGTCTACCGAGGCGGTAGATGCCGAGATCGAGGACATGAAGCGTCGTGTGAAGGAGATGGAGGAGGAAGCCGCCAAGTTGAGCGAGATGCAGTCCGAGGTGGAGTCCCAGATGGGCAAGAACACAGCTTCAACGCTTAACGAGATGAACGGTGGAGCTGCTGGGGCGGCAGCCAACGCACAGCCGGCACAGATGGACGACACGTCCATTTACATCGGCCAGGTAGACTACGGTAGCACACCCGAGGAGCTCCAGGCTCTCTTCCAGTCATGCGGCACCATTAACCGCGTGACGATCCTATGCGATAAGTTCACGGGCCAACCCAAGGGCTACGCATACATCGAGTTTGCCTCACATGACGCCGTGGAGAGCGCGCTCTTGCTGAACGACACCATGTTCCGTGGCCGACAGCTTAAGGTCACGCCCAAGCGACAGAACGTGCGTGGATTCAACATGTCCCGTGGAGGCCGCGGAGGTCGTGGCCGAGGACGGGGACGAGGACGTGGCCGTGGCCCACCCCGTGGAGGATTCCGTGGAGGTCGTGGACGCGGCTTCCACCCGTACTACTAGGTTGGTAGGTCATAATGATGCTGATGAACAACGAGCTCATGAATCTTGAGAAAAGAGGGAGAAGAGGGAGAAGAGAAGAAAAGAAAAGAAAAATCCCCCCATGAAAAAAGTAAAAAAAAAAGTAAAAAAGAAATCCCCTCCTTAGGATATGTCCAAAAGAACAAGAGAGCAAACCGCTACGCATGATCATCAGCAATGTAGATTAGATAGACTTGGTGAATGATGCAGTGTTGATATGTTCGATATTTAATGAAGGTAACAGACACTTGGTATTTAGAACTTAACGCAACACTTTCTTGTTGCGCTTAGCAGGAAGACCAGGATGGCTACTCGAGCTGCGTCTCTTAGCTGTGCGAGGAGCCTTTTCCGAGTGCTTTGACGTCTTGCCTACAACCACATCACCACGTTATAAGCAGAGCTTAACCAAAAACACAGTAGAAAAACGCACCTGTAAGCGTATAGTTCGCCGCTGAAGTACCGGAGTTGCTACCGTCAGCCAGCGCAGCATCACCTGGTCGTTCTGCATATAATACATTTACGTTAGCATAAGTACGTCATGAGAGCACACAGCGTGGACGAAATTCTTACCAGACATAGTGACGGCGGTTGTGATCGGCTTGTACTCTTGTCCAGTGAGCGCGTGGTAGCGATCCCGTAGAGCTTGAGCTTCGTTCTGTTTACTCTTCAGATGCTTCCGCAGTGATAGTAATCCCACAGCATCTTGACGTAGCTTGTCAAAGGTTTCGCACACTGGTTTCGTAGGCATTGGACGCGCAGGCACACCCATCTCATCTAACAGAAGCTGCAGCTTCTTCAGTAGCTTGGCACTCAGTGCGTGTTTCTGTTGAGGTAGGGCCAGCAACGAGCTCCGTAGAATGACACCAGTCGGGAGTGTGCGCTTGATCTCGTATGGCACATCAGCCAGCTCCTTCTTCTTCTTGAGATCAGCTCTGACCGCCACCTTCTTAAGTTGCTGCTCCACACCACGTAGCTCATCATTAAGACGACGAATCTCATTCTCCTCCTCGACTGTGCGAGAGAAGGCAAGATCCAGTTGTTTCTTGCGTTGTTTCTCATAATCAATGTTGAATTTGTAGTGCTCTGACGTTGACGACGTTGGCGTCGCGGGAGTTGGCGTAGACGTATGCTCAGCAACTGCAACTGGAGTGGATACTGCGGTTGCTGCAGGAGAGACAGCTGGTGTAGCAGCAGAAACCTTTCTTTCCAGCTCCTTCTTGTCTCGGTATTCAGCTATCAATCGCGTCGCTTCGTAGTAGCAGTACTTGATATCTTCGACAGATCTAGGGGAGCCTTTGGCAACTGGGTTGGAATTGTACTTGTCCGAGATCACGACCCACCTGTACAGTACACAGGCATGATTGTCTCTATTACATACAAGTTTAAATAATATGGATAGAGGTTTTATAGCTTACCGCAGATCGAAGCGTTGGCAGAGTTTCAGCAGCAGATCCATCTCCTCTTTACTCCACTTCATCATTGGGTCTTGGTGATGTGCTAGCACTGCCTCGTATTCCTTATTAGAGCAGCTGGTTGTCTCGCTCTTGACGTTGAACCGGGCGAAAACGTAGTCGGGCTGTTCCAGGTGGGCTTTTCCCCAGTGACTAAGCGTCAGACCTTCCTCCCCGTTCTCACCCGCCAACGCTGCACGCGCCGGGTTTCGGAAGGACTTGCGGATCCACTTGACAGCTGGTGACTTCTTACGCTCTTGCCACTTTTGTTTCAAGCTAGTTTTGCCAAAACCCTGATACAGAGCGTGACTGGCGCGGTGACTACTCTCAAGTAGCTCGAGCACCTCGCGCTGCATGCCAGTGAGCTTCTTCTGCTTGCTGCTGCTGCCACTCGCCTTCCCGCGTACCGAAGGCGACGCGCCCGATGGCTTAAGCTGGCCCAGATCACCCGCTGCAGCCCCATTGGCGCCCGTCTTAGGCCCCGCAAGCCCCAGGATCTGTGCGACGTCGCTCATATTGACCGTGGGTTCCTGCAAATTGCCAATTTGCTCAGAAAAAGTATGATGTAAACGGTAGTAATTTCTGCTACTACGGTTTAATAGGACTAGGAATTAATACATGAAGTGTTTTTATAGTGTTAAAGAGTTTGACGGTCAAATGCATCGTGCGTGCTGCGGCCGACGTGCCGCTGTGTCACCGCCAGCGACACTGGCCTACAGCCTATACACCGTAGTGGTATTATCTTATGCTTTTACAGTTTATGCAGAAAATGACTTGCCTTACTAGATCCTTCTGTCCTATCTCCATTATTGCAACATTGAATTGGAACAGTGTTCTCCTGCTATAGTGGCCACTTCCTCTGCTCTAGTTTCTTGTCGATTCTTGTGACGCCGAAGCTTGCACGTTTTGTGCTGCCTGATTCGCCTTGCTGACCTCCGCTGCCACATATTCGCCTTCAGAAATCTGCCAGCGTTGCATCGTGTCCTTGAAGATATACACGCCTGTTACGGCACCCAAGACGACCGCGAGACCAACGTCCATAAGAGGAGTCGCGCGTTTCACACGCGGGCGTAGCGTTCTGCCATCCTTATTCTTGCCGAACAGCGACACCATTGTCCGCACTTGCTTTACTTTGAGTGGCTGACGCGGTCAATATTCACTTAAGTGCGAACATACAATCATTCCTTCCTTGATGTTCTGGAAGGATCCAAATAAGAAATCGTGGTAAGCACATATTGAAACGGACCCAAATTTGGCGTTGGCAGAGTAGCATATTCAGCTCTATCACATTGCGTCCATGGCGCATTGACTATGCCGTTTTCAATACCGGCGGAGTTTTCTTCCGTTCTCGAAGGCAACTTCGGTCTTCATCGAGACGTCTCCGATAAGATTGGAAAGGTCCACAAGAAAAAGGTCCGGCCCGCATTATCCAACATAATTGGTAAATCCGAAAACAAATGACCTATCAAAAAGCGGAAGGGTTTTGCTCTTGTTATAATTCGTGAGCCTCTTAAATCAAATACATCTGTTTAAAACACTGAAAACAGCATGTTCTAGATTACAGACTGCGACAGTAATTTAGGACACTAAAGCTCAAGTACGTATGGCCCAGCGAGTGGCTGACGAGGCTCTTTGCTTCAATTGCAAATTTGCGCATTTCCCCACATCTCCAGATCCCAGCCCCTCACACAAGAATGCTGCGTCTAGCCGTCCGCAACCCCGCTCCTGCCGCTGCCAAGCGCATGTTCTCGGCCGCCGCCGGCTCGGAGGTCATCGGTATTGACCTGGGTACGACCAACTCGTGCGTGGCTGTCATGGAGGGCAAGACCGCGCGTGTGATTGAGAACTCGGAGGGTGCTCGCACGACGCCCTCAGTTGTGGCCATCCTGGACAACGACGAGCGTCTTGTCGGCATGCCTGCCAAGCGTCAGGCTGTGACTAACCCGGAGAACACGTTCTACGCCGTGAAGCGTCTGATTGGCCGTAAGTTCGAGGACAAGGAGACCCAGGAGGTGTCCAAGGTCGTGTCATACAAGATTGTCAAGGGCAACAACGGCAAGGACGCTTGGGTTGAGGCTAAGGGCCAGAAGTACTCGCCCTCGCAGATCGGATCCATGGTTCTGACTAAGATGAAGGAGACTGCCGATGGTTTCTTGGGTAAGCCTATCACTCAGGCCGTTGTGACGGTCCCTGCCTACTTCAACGACTCGCAGCGTCAGGCCACCAAGGATGCCGGTAAGATTGCCGGTCTGGACGTGCTTCGTATTATCAACGAGCCCACGGCTGCTGCTCTGGCTTACGGTATGGACAAGGCCGACGGTAAGGTCATTGCTGTCTTCGACTTGGGTGGCGGTACCTTCGATGTGTCGATCCTGGAGATCTCTGGCGGTGTGTTTGAGGTCAAGTCGACCAACGGTGACACTCTTCTAGGCGGTGAGGACTTCGATGAGGAGCTGCTGCGCTACCTTGTGAACGAGTTCAAGAAGGAGACGAGCATCGACCTGTCGGGAGACAACCTGGCTATGCAGCGTCTCCGTGAAGCTGCTGAGAAGGCCAAGCGTGAGCTGGATGGTCTGGCCCAGACGGACATCAGTCTGCCTTTCATCACGGCCGACGCTACAGGCCCTAAGCACTTAAACATGAAGATCACACGTGCCACATTCGAGAAGCTGGTGGGCAAGCTCATCGAGCGTACTATGGGTCCTTGCAAGAAGTGCGTCAAGGACGCTGGTCTGGACAAGAGCGAAATCAACGAGGTCATTCTGGTCGGCGGTATGTCGCGTATGCCCAAGGTGCAGACGACGGTGGAGGAGTTCTTCGGTAAGAAGCCCTCGAAGGGTGTGAACCCGGATGAAGTCGTGGCTATGGGCGCTGCTATCCAGGGTGGTGTGTTGCGTGGTGACGTCAAGGACATTTTGCTGCTGGATGTGACTCCTCTGTCTCTGGGTATTGAGACTCTGGGTGGTGTGTTCACGAAGCTGATTCCGCGTAACACGACCATCCCGACCAAGAAGTCGCAGGTGTTCTCGACTGCGGCGGACTCGCAGACTCAGGTGGGCATCAAGGTGCTGCAGGGCGAACGTGAGATGGCTGCGGACAACAAGCTGCTCGGTAACTTCGATCTGGTGGGTATCCCGCCTGCCCCTCGTGGTGTGCCTCAGATCGAGGTGAGCTTCGACATTGACGCCAACGGAATCGTGAACGTCGGTGCTCGTGACAAGGCCACGGGCAAGGAGCAGAACATTGTGATCCAGTCCAGTGGCGGTCTGTCCGAGGCGGAGATCGAGAAGATGGTTGCTGACGCCGAGGCCAACGCTGCTGCTGACCAGCAGCGTAAGGAGCTGATTGAGGCCAAGAACGATGCTGACTCGACGTTGTACTCGACCGAAAAGACACTGAAGGAGCACGAAGACAAGATCGACGCGGAGACTCTCGAGCAGGTCAAGACTGCTCTCACTGACCTGCGAACCAAGTCGGAGGGCGACAACACGGAGGAGATCAAGGCTGCTCTTGAGGAAGTACAGAAGCTGTCGATGAAGATCGGTGAGGCCGTCTACAAGTCGCAGCAGGGTGAGAGTGCGGCCAGTGATGACAACAAGGACGAGAACGTGCACGACGCCGAGTTCAAGGACAAGAAGGACTAAGTCTGGTAGCCGAGCGACCTGTTTAGACGACGTTTGCCTTTTCGTATTTTGCTGCTTTCGTTGTCGGGGTTTCTCTTATTAGATGGACACATGTAGGAACGACGCCGACAAGTAATTTACTGTTTGCAATGAGATAATCCAAAGACGAAAGCATTTGGGTGTTGTGTGTTGATACTGCGGACGTCTTGATGTCCTCGATCGGTTTATTTACACGCTCTCGCCTTTGTTTTTGGCTGCTGCTTCCCCTGTCGCAGGCTCCAGGTTCTTGTCGCTGCCATCTTCAGTTGTCTGGTTCAAGAAATGTAGGGTGTCAGTCTGCCCCCTTGTTGTGTCGTATTTGTTGATGATGTTACCTGTTCCATGAGGTCTGCAATGGATTTCTCCAAGTCGTCGATACGCGAACCCATTTCATCGAGTGGATTTCCAACAGTAGCAAAAACGCACAATGAATAGTCAAGGAAAACCCAAATACGAAGACTCTTATCTCTATCCTGACGGGCATATTTAAAAATGAATTTCGTGAAAAGGATATTTCTTCCGATGATAGCGTCCGACATCTGCGCAAATCGCGATTGCTAGAAGAGAACAACACAGTCAGCAATTACCAGAAGCTGCAGAGATTTTTGAAGCTAGCTACGCACCATTTGTTCCAGCAGACTTTGCACCTAGCAACAGTATCTTGCAAATTAGCTCATGCGCAATTAGAACAATAGTTATGAAAAAATCACGCACGAAAACGGAGAGATCTTGGCCGTCCGTTGGACCGCCCGCCGACGTATTCGATGCGGAGTTGGCGTTGGCGTTCTTGGAGGCTTCTGAAGAGCTCTACACGAACATTCACAGCGACAACAAACGAGTCAGCAGTCGCCAACACACGCATCTTTGTCATCCACTCCCACAGAGCCTTGATACACAGATACACGGCGCTTGAAAGACGCACCATTTTTTTCAGACTGATCTTTGCGGTTTCTGGAAGGACAGGCATGTCTCGGAACGGCATATCTTATTCTTTTCGATAGTGTTGACAGTATCAGATCTGAGGGTACCGGTATGTAATATGAAGTTCCGAAACAAATCATCTCAACCCCATCACTTCCGAATTCGCCAGCTCGAGAACAAATCTCACGTCTCATTATGGGCTGGACTTGTGCGCAGTGTACGCTCCTGAACGCCAACAACTCGGCCGCCAATTGCGGGGCCTGCAACGCCATCCGTGTGCTTCAATGCCCCACGTGCAAGGGCGAGATCAAGTGCGTTTTAGCTCTTCTTTATCGCTTTGGACTTAGAGCATTTCTCATCACCTTTTTCATTCTTTTGATGCAGATACGGCAAACGTCTCCACGTGAACGGCATAACGTATCATCCAGACTGTTTCTGCTGCACGGGCTGCAAACGTCCGCTTCCCAGTCGCTTCCAAGTGGTCAATGGCGGCAATTATCATCCGGAATGTGCTCCGAAGCAAAAACCAACCACTACAACTACTACAACGACCAGAACGGTGGGAGGTGGCAAGCCAGTACAGAACGGAAAGCACAATAGTCCAGTGCAGAAAGAAAACTGCTGCAAGAACGCTGACGTTAAGACAAATGGCAGTGCCAAGACCAATGGGAAGGGGGGCTGGAACTGCCCTAGCTGCACGTACTTCAACGCGAACGATACAGCGCCCACCTGTGCAGCATGTGATGCTATCCGCATCATGCAATGTCCAGGATGCAAGGGAGAACTCAAGTGCGTTGATACTTTTTTTTTTGTGATTCAAAGTATTGTTACTAAACACATTTGAGTTGACACAGATTTGGCCAACGCATCAATGTGGATGGCAAGGCTTATCACCCAGACTGTTTCCGTTGTGCTGCATGCAACGGGAAGTTCACAACGAGCAAGTTCCAAGTCAAAGATGGAGAATATTATCACCACGAGTGCTACAAACAACTCTACCATCCACGGTACGTGACATTACGCTGATTACTAGCCAGCATACTGATTCAACATATGCAACTACAATCAGCTGTGACGTGTGCGAAGGATTCATTCCCTACCAACCAGGCACACAAAAAATCTCGTTCAAGGTTCGATGGATTATTAACGATATCTATCCGTTAAAACTGACTCATGGCTTCACTTTCATTCTTGCAGGTGATGCCCTTTGGAGAGCACAAATACTGCGCCGAGCATCAACACCGTGATCGATGCTGCAGTTGTCAGCGTGTTGAGGTTGGTACAGCTACGACACAAAACATGTGCCCAGACATTGTGTGTCATTGTACCTTTAGCCGATTATTCCAGGACGGGAGTTCCACAAACTCAGTGACGGCCGCAAAATTTGCCACGATTGCTGCAACTATTTGGTCCTTGACTCCCATGAGGTAAGCTATTGCGTATCTCTTGCTGCGAATACCATAAGAATAATGTCGTTGTGTCTACAGGCTCAGGGTGTGGTGAAAGAGGTGTGGGCGTACATGCGGGATATCGGCATTCATCTCCCAGAGGTCTGTCAACCAGTGTCTTTGCAGCTATTTAGCAATGGTCTGAGGTACTGAAGCGGTGTATATTCTCTAGATCCCAGTCTACCTGGTGGAGTCTCCTGTCCTGAACGAGCAATGCTGCGCCCATAAAAAGAGCAGAACGCTTATAAAAGGGAACAAGCCTGTGGAAGGCCATGTGACTCGAGGTCTTTGCATTTCGGAAGTGTCCCAGATCCAGCACATGGTTCGTACTGGCAAGCACACAGCTCCTCGAGTGGCCTCGATCGAAAAGGTTTGGTCTTGTTTAGTGTACAAATTACATTCAGGCTGTAAAATAACGTGTCATTGCGTTTGTTACGGACAGAAACGCTCGGTGAACGCGATCCTGATTCTGCACGGACTACCGTACGATCTTACGGCTTCTGTTCTCGCACACGAAGCCACGCACGCGTACATTAAACTCAGCGACAATTTCCCTGAACATATCCCTCCCAAGGTATGCTTATTGTGGTATGGAAATAGTGATGATTGTAGTGAGCTGATGTGGTATTGCTTGGATCAGGTGGAGGAAGGGCATTTGTCAGCTGATGAGCTACCCTGTTTTTAAGGTACAAGCACATGATGGAACGCAAAGACTCGAAGAAACGCACCTACGAGGGCCGACTGCGCAAATTTTACATGCACCAACTCAAGAACGACATTTCTCCTGTGTATGGCGATGGCTTCCGCGAAGCGTACGAGGCCTACAAGCGCGTGAACTCGCTGCAACGAATGTTCGACGCGATTAGACACCACGCGTCATTTCCATGATGGTGGCGTTTTCGTCAAGCTCAAGTTACATATTCTTCAAAGATACGTTCCACAAAATATTACTTCAAGTACCGCTTAATGTGTATTGTGCAATGCTTTTGTCCTTTTCACTTAGCCTGATGCTCGAATTATAATTAGCCAGCCGAGCGCCGCCGCTACGCGGCGGCAATTTAGGTTTGGTTCTACTTGCTTTGGCCTTCCCGCCTCCGCTACGCTTCGGCGGGATAACTATTGAAATAACGCTGAACATATGTGTATCTAAAGCGATTCTTTTTAATTTCATTAATTTGGGTCAGCATGATGCTTACCGAATTTAAGAAATAATTATTCTAATGATCTTGAATCAAGTTTTTTATTGCTGGCTATCACTGTAACTTCATCTTCCACCCAAAACTATCTGCACTTCAAATAACATTTATACAAACGCTACACAATATGTTTAGTTTAGCGTCGTGCGGACCATTTCTGAACCGCTCTGAAACTTAGCTCACATGATAGTAATGGTCTGTCCAGCGCACTACTTATCCGCTTGTACTGCCTATTTTAGCTTGTGAGTAACTAAAGATTGTTCACTTCACACACAAACTCAATGAAAGCTAGAAAATATTAAAATTGTAATATTTTTTTATGCGTGCTGATTCAGAATTAGTCAATAGACACTCGATTCTGTACCAGTTATGATTAAATCATTCGGATAATGTGTCGCAAGACGCCTTGCTGCTGTCGTTGTTGACGGTACAGTAGTGCTTTCAATTTGATAGTTTAGCGATAATTTCAGGATGGCTAAACGTCATTTAGGCTCCAAGTTTATTAACATTTCTTTATGGTGTCCACTTAACACCTTGCTTACGAACGTCGTGTAAGACGACATATTATTTTTGTTACGTCGTATATTACGACATTGCACGAAGGTCATTAGCAAATGGCTCGGAAAAGTTTTTTCAATACTTTAATCAAGTTACCACAAAAATATAATCTGCAAGAGTCATTTTGCTACAAGTCAAAACCAGGCCAGGGAAAGGGGATCAGCCACGTCGTGAGCAACCACTCATTCGACATTTTGCTGGATGGTGCGCATACGGAATAGTCGACGCGAGAAACCCGCCGTGCCGGCTGCCGCTACACACGATATTGACTTTGGCCACTTATGGCGGCAGCTTCGGGCGGCGGGGTGGAAGTCCAAGCGTCCGAGTGGCCTCCAGACTGAGTGGAGCTACTCGAGTCCTGACAACACGCACGTCTTCGTAGGGGAGAAATCAGTCGTGGACTACGCGTTCGACAGTGGCTTGCTGGAAGAGGCGAATGCTGATGCTCAAGTCCGAGATGAAGGAGGTGGGGAACTAGACCAAGCAGGAGCTGGTAGTAGTGGTGAAGAGCAACAACACGAGGGGGAAGACGTCGTTCGGCCTTCCCAGATCGACACGAGTGTCCTTCTTTCGCAGCATACCATTGATCGAATGTTCGGCACCCCAAGTGATGATGACATCGAGCTGTCGCAGACTGCAGTGAGCAGAGCATTCAATCTATCCCCAGGAGATCTACAAGACGGCGGTGCCCGCGAGGCCGCTGCTGGACTGCATTTACTTTCGGAGGCTTCTGGATTAGAGAGCGAGGGTGATGTAGACGAAGAAGAAGCCGCTGCGTCTCAACCTCGACGACAGACACTTACGCCGTTATCAGGCAAAGAGGACGTGAATGTTTTGCTGGATGAGGAGAAGCCGAGTGACTACGAGAACTACAGCTCGGGTGATAGCGACGACGACGGCATGAGTGATATTAACAGCGACTCCGGAGCCGGGATGTCCGAGGAAGATGACGACGTCCTGTCCGACAGTGACGCAATTGAAATGGACAAGTCTTTCATTGCGGCACTACAGGTGGGCAATAACGCACTTAGCAGAACCGCTGCAATGGAGAGAGAGCAGACACTACGAGGAATGCAGTGGACGCCAGTGTCTTCGGAGTACGAGACAGATGCTGCTGCGTACCCTGGACTGGGCACCGAAGAAGCAAGGCCTGTGCCCGACCTGCTGCAATTATGGAGATCGCCAATCCTCACCTTCTTTTATTTCATGCCGAAGTCTCTGTGGGTTTCTATCGCGGCTGAAACGAACCGATATGGTCTACAGCAAGCTGGCAAGCGCGCCCGTAACATTCAGGCACGGCAGACTGACCTTCGGCGTGAAACTATCAAGCAGATTGCACGTCGTTTGAAAGCTAAGGCAGCATACTCTACACACGAGATTCTTCACGTTGTTGGACTCCTCGTTGCACGGATGCTCTGCCCTCAAAAGAAACGATTTGGTGCGCACTGGAGTATGGTGGAAGACGGTGCTGTTCCCGCCGGTCTTTTCGGGCGGTTCATGACGCGTGACAGGTTGCATAGTATCATGCGAGACTTGCACTTCGTCGACAACACGATTGACCACGGTAACGATAAACTCTGGAAACTTCGCCCCGTTGTTGACAAGGTCCACGAGCGCTTTTTGCAGGGGTGGTCTCTTTCTGCTATTTTTTCGTTTGATGAGGGTATACTGCCGTCCACGTCGAAGCGGAACACGACCCGGATGTTCATGGCCGACAAGCCTCACCGCTACGGGTCCAAACTATTTATGGTCTGTGACGCGCAGACGGCATACTGCCACAGGTACGTTTAAAATTTGTATATCGTAACTATCTACTTTGTGTTTGCCTGACAACAGTGAATGTCGTAACTATCTAGGTTCGAAGTTTATGTGGGTAAGCGTGCATCTGCTGGTGGACCTGACACCTCAGTTGACTTTAAGACTGGAGCTGCAGCCGTGGTCCGGAATTTGAAGATTGTTCTCGCCCAGTCTCGTCACAAGTGGCATACCGTCGTAATCGATCGCTACTACTCGTCCGTGCTCCTTGCGATTGAGCTCCTGAGTATGAAGGTGTATGTTATTGGCACGATCATGACTAACCGGCTTGGATTCAACCCGAATCTCAGGGCTACGAGCAAGACACGCCCAGTGAGCATACCCCACGGTACATTCTCGTTCTCTCGCTCTATCGCCATCCCGACCATGATTTCCTGTGTTTGGTGGGACCGGAAGCCCGTCTATTATCTCTGTACGGGCTCCATTATGGCGGCGTCGACAATTGAGCGAAAAATAAAACGTATCGGTGCGGTTCGAGTGCCGTGCCCCTCTGTTGTAAATGACTACCAGAACTGGATGAGCGGAGTTGATGTCCACGATCAACGCCGTCTCCAGTCGTATTCACTGCAAATGTCGACGAGGTTCACGAAATATTATAAGAGCCTATTCTTAGGTTTGCTGGACATGGTCATGGTAAATTCGTATCTTACGCACAAAGAGGGGGCCAAGATCAAGGGAATGGCTGCTATGAAGCGCTCAGAGTGGTTTTGCGCTCTTCAAAATCAACTTCTCCAACTCAAAGCCGAAGATTTTGCTGGAGTGGAGGCAACACCGCCTCCTGCGAGACAAAAGCGCCAGCGCACCCCAGTACGCCTCACGCACGCGCTGCAGCAGTCTGAAGATTTGGTTACCGTTACTGGGGTCCAGAAACGCCGGCAGAGATCGTGCAAGGTCTGCGCGCTCTTGGGTACTGAAAAGAAGAAGTCCTTCGCAACAACGTTCTTTTGCGAACGCTGCTCCGTTGATAATGCAAAATGCTGGTTGTGCAACCGTATTCGACGGGAATACAAGGGCGTTGCGAAGACATGCTATGATATCTGGCATGATGACTTCGACGCCGGGCAAGCTATCCCACCAAACTTAGGGAAGCGCATTGTACTGCGTCGGCCCGGCCAGAAAGCTGGCCAAAGAAAGAAGACGTCACAGGAGAACTTCGGATTGGGGCAGACTCCTGGCTAGCTTCGGTCGGCAACAGTTGTGACCAACGAGAAATGGGTAGTAATGACCGAAGTGAGCTTTGGTTGCGGTTCAAGTTGATTTAGTGAATTTGTTTCAAAATACACAACCTCCTTGAACCCATTCGTACCTTCGTCCTTGCGTTTCTTGATTTAAGTGGACTGCCTGTGAAGCAATTTAGCCATCTGTTGACTGCACTTGCAGTCAGTACCGACATTGAGCAGGCAATACTGTCGCTGAATCCCGTCAGAGTTACGACATTGAAAGAAAAACCTGTTGAAAATTAATGCACCTAACCTCACGTCAAAAAGTGCACCCATACAAATACGTAGTAACATTGATATACCGTATCTTACGACATGCGCTTACGCGTTCTGGGCAAGTACCGTCCGGACGCAAGGTGTTAACCAACTATAATTAACACCTATCGTGTCTTGTTGTTGTGTTGCCGCTCCATTTAAAATCGTATCCTACGCCCCTGTCGGCGACACGTCTCGGATTTTGCTGCCTAACAACTCTTAGAAAACAATGGCTCACAGCAGTCTCTTAGAAAACAATGGTTACAGCAGTAACACATATGAGTTCATTCTATTCAATCAAAACTATTTATCTTTATGGATCAGGTGACAACGTTTATTTGCACAGCGTTGTTTTTACGGCCAGCTTTGGTTGCACGTGTACTACTATTTGGCAGTACCTCATATGTTCTTAATATTTCTACAACAAAACAGTTGTAGTTATTCTTTTAGTCATTGCTTCTTGCAGAAACTATAAAGAGCATAATAATTTTGTGTATTAATAGTATGGTCTCGAAACCACACGTGTACGCTAAGCACCTTGCAGCATAGAAAGCGTCTTTAAGGGCTATTTTATTTGAGAATAAGTAGCACTCAAATATTAATAGCAACATCCCATATTAAAATAGTACAAATTAAAACTTCGTTCCCGTCGCTCTTGTGCGCTTCAAGCCTGGTGTAGTTAAACCATAACATCTAGCAATACCATCGCTCATTGAAAGAACAACTAGCAGCCCCAGATCGATTACCGGTAACACAAAGATACTGATTTTTTAATTTGTTTATCATTTAAACGATGCCGCCATCGGTAATGGATAGCCTGGTGCAAATCTCCATATGTGCTCTG